CTTTGGTAGTGTTATTCTGTGTACTTTGGTAGTGTTATTCTGTGTACATTAATAGTTTTATTCTGTGTACTTTGGTAGTGTTACTCTGTGTACTTTGGTAGTGTTATCCTGTGTATGGTCTGGTTTGGTTTAAGTTGCTCTATAAATGAAGCTGTTGTGGTTTCCAGACAGAAACTTAAGATATTCCACTCATGTTCTGTTCTTTAGAAACAAACGACCCCAGGGCTTTGCTGAAGGCCTGTGAAGTTCGCCTTTCAAGGATAAACTGTAAGAAACACGATTCCACAGTTTATTTGTACAACACACTTGTCCTTGTAAGAAAATCAACATTTTATAAATAAAATGTTTGTTGTTTCCAAAGATCCCTTCGATGCTTTGTCAACAAAGGTAAGACTTGTCAACTTTTAGCTTTTTAATTTTATGTTTTATTCTGAAGGTTTCAACTTGTTTTAAGATTGTTCTACGGTTATAAATGTGGACTTGGACCATATTTACCATCAGCTGAAACTTTATTTTCATCTACGATCTGCACCTTATGCACTAAGTTGATTCTTGTCATCTTCATGGTTGATTTCATCTTTTTCTTCATGAAGTGTGTTGATGGTGTAGCGGCCGGGCAGCCAACTCGGGACCCGAAAGTCCCAGGTTTGATCCCCAGCCACTCCCACATGTTGTGTTGTCTCTGAGCAAGACACCTAATCCCGAATTGCTCCCCGGGCACTTGCATAGCTGCCCACTGCTCCACCTGGGTGTATCTCAGGTGTGATGAGTTAAACGCAGAGAACTAATTTTGCCATTATATGGAAACATACAATGATGACAACACAGCGTTCATTATTATCAGAATCAACTTTAATGTCATTGCACAGTTAAGTACAGCAAAGTTACGGCCCGTACATCCGTCCGAAGGGTAGACTGAAGTGTACCGGGGCTGCAGCTTCTATGAAGCGCTGCTCTTATCGCTTAGAAAAGAAAAGGGGAAGAAAACATGAGGAGAGAAGGTATAAATAATAAAGATCTCTCACATCGTGTCTTTGGACACAGGGCACAGTGCGAGGTAGCAAAAAAAAAATTACCTCAGCAAAAGCAACATAGAGAGACATAAAACGTTTTGCAGGGGGCTGGGTGGGACAAGATGGTGAGATTGTCCATGAACACTTTCAGATAGTTTCTATAGCCCTGATAAAAGATCATGAAGTATCTATCAGCTGGTCCACTCTGATAAGGGTCCACAGATTTTGGGGGTGGGGGGGCAAAGCAGAGCTTCTTGATTTACGTATCCACCAGTAGCAATTTGAGATAAGTTGGCCTATCCAAGGCCAGATTCAGATAAACAGTTGTTTTGGGACAGGTCGACTACTGATCTCATGTCTGCCTTCAGTTCTGCTGCTACACTCAGTGGTGAATCCAAACAGACAGATTTGTGGACATTCCACCGGTCCGTGCTTGTTCGTCTTCTCTAAGGTCGGTCCCTTCATGGCGGCAAGTTCTAGGAGCTGCAAGTGGCCTGCGATTCTCAGAAATCACGTCCAGCTTACGGTTCAGTTCGCAAAGCATCTGAGTCTGAGCGCTTGAAGCACGGTGCAGTCCTTCATATAAGGCAGGCAGCCTCACCATATCAAAACTGCTGCTGATGTCGTCTTAATTTGTCGATATCCTAGGTAGCCGCCAATCCCAACAAGCAGAAACCCTGTTTTCATAAATCCAATTATGTACGCGTCTTCTACGTCCTCAATGGACAATACAGACAAGCACATCATCTTCCTTGCACTCCAGGAATCCATGATACATCCAGCTGCGTGTGCCCCTTCAGGACATGAGGGTTCTCCTTCACCCTGTCTCCTCGTCGAGAAAATTTTATCAATTGCGTTGAGAGACCAGCTGATCAGATCCATAATTTACGACTTGGAATATGTGTAAAGAGAAGCTCTGATACAATTATTTATTATTTTTATTATTAATATTGTATTGGCATGATTCTTGGGTGTGTAATGAGACTGTGCTGTCTCTCAGGGCACCAGCAGGGGGCGTTCTGGCTTGAGGAACAGCTTGCGTCAGAAGCCACAGGCCCGCACGATGTTTCAGGCTGGTGTTTGCACCTGGTCCAAACCCATAGACCTTAATGAGGACTTCAGGGCTCATAAGTCCAGAGATGAGGTAACTACTACCAGATTTCCTGTGGCTCATGAACAGCTCGTTTCACAGAAACTTCACAACTGGGTTGTAAAATAAGACACTACAAACTGAATGTAATTCATTAAAAAAATATATATAATTTACTGTAAACATCAACTGCTGCAACAAAACCACTCCAAAACTCGAGACCCATAACTGGGACTGACTTTCACAGAACAACTGCATGACTTAAAAAAAAAAAAAAGAAACCATCCAGATGACTTGACTGGACTTTGTTGGATTTTTTAAACTTGATTATTGAGCATGAACTTTGATGCATGACTTCCAGTTCCATAAATGCCTCAGATCGCAGTAAGAGGTCTTTGCAAAGTATTTATGTATTTCTTTCTGTCTTCCATAGTTGGTGACCTTCATTTCTTGTTTTGTTTCTGGCTGAGTGAAGGTTCTAACATAATATTTTTGATTATATTCAGTTTTACTAACAAAGAATTCATTTTTGTCTGAATGAGCTGTTACAGTTTGATTTATTTTACATTCAAATCTTGGTTTATTTTCAGTTCGATGAGCAGTCGTTAAAAAACATAACTCAAATAAGAGGGCGGAGCAAAGAGTACCAGGTAACGTTTCATCGTCCACATGTAAACGGTAAATGTCAGATTTTTCTGTGCGTGTCATCCAGTGTTTTGTTTTCTGAAGGATGAGAAAGGATTCCTGACAGGGGAGCTGCTGTGGGGTAAAGTCAAGGGTTTTTCCTGGTGGCCAGGGATGGTGGTGGCCTGGAAGTCAAAGTGTCCTCCCCCAGGCATGCGGAGGGTGGTGTGGTTCGGAGACGGCATGTTCTCAGAGGTTACAGCATGATGGTTGATGGTTGTTTGGTTGAGGTACAAATCTTATGCAGATTCTTACAGCATTGATTGTTTTTGTTGCAGGTCCATGTTAATGGATTGCTGCCGTTTGAAGCCTTCAGTCGATGCTTCTGCAAAAACTCTTTTACGAGTTTTCCCGTCTACAGAGAGGCCATCTACCAAATCATTGAGGTATTCAAGCACACAGCGGCCTGCAGTTTGAACTGCAGTTCATGTATCTTTTTCAGCTGCTTATCTGTGGTCAGGCTGTGGATGTTGCAGGTGAAAAAGACGAACCTAGAAATGCAACAACATTCTTTAGATCCTCTTGGGGTATTCCAAGCTGTTCCCAGTATTCAACCTTTATTTAGACAGGTTAATCCCATTGAACCTCGAGGACTCATTTACAAGAGAGACCTGATATTAACAAAGAGTGATGACAGCAATGGATAACAACGATAAAGCCCCCAGTTTACTCCCGCGTACCTCAGTCCACGCGTACGTACGCATGTACTGTACACAGAGGGTTCAGACGTCATACTCCAGCGTACACCCCGAGCAGCTGCAGAGCAGCTTCACAGACGAGGGGCGTTTACCTTCTGGACAAATTGAGTTCGCCGATTGGTTCGCCTTATTGTGACGTGACAACTTTAACCACTGCTCCACCGTGCCACCCAGTCTTAAAACTATAGTTTATAAAATCTGCTTTCTCATCAAACACTAGAGTTCAAAGCAATTCTCTGAATTATCGAGTTGAACTAAACGGTGTGTAAATCTGTGCTTTAAAACTTTTGACTGACTAACGTTCTTGTCTCCAGTTGGCAAGTGTGCGGTGTAGGAAGCTGTTTTCTCAGGCAGACGGCAATAAAGAGAAACAGCTGAAGCTGATGGTGGATTGGGCTTTTGAAGGTTTTCTGCCTACTGGACCTAAGGGCTTTTCACCTCCTGGTAGGTGTTCATTTTAAAATGCTTTGAAATGTCACGTTGTATTCCTTACATATTTTGTAGCTTTTTTTAATTAAATAAATTCATTACAGTTTATTTCTGTAGCTCCAAATCACAACAGAAGTTGTCTCAGGGCCCTAGACAGAAACATTCACGTACATTATAAAAGACAATTAGTAAAAGTTATTTATCTAAGGAAGCAGCAGGTTGTGTTGAATCTTCACTTCGTCACAGTTTCCCATCCTGAGCAAGCACAAAGGAGACAGTGGAAAGGAAAAACTCCCTTTTAACAAGAAAAATCCTCCATCGGAATCAGGCTCAGGATGAGCGGCCGTCTGGGTTTGAGAGGAACAGGAAGTAGAAACAGAAACACAGAATGACAGGTCCAGGTGTGCTTTCTATAGGAGGAAATACTAAAACATGTAAAGAAATAATTACAAATACAAACGGGTAAAGCAGAACATGTAAAGACAGCTGCAGAGTGAGGAAATGTGGTCAGTTTGTCCTCCAGCGGTCTAAACCTAAAGCAGCATAACTAAGGGATAGCTCAGGAAACCCCAGCCTATAGGATTTATCAAACAGGAAAGTCTTGAGCCCAGTCTTAAAACTGGACAATGTGTCAGCCTCATGGACAGAAACTGGAAGTTGATTTGACAAAAGAGGAGCCTGATAACTGAAAGATCTTCCTCCCATTCAGTTTTTGGAAACTCTAGGAACCACAAGTAAACCTGCAGCCTGAGAGCGAAGTGCTCTGTTAGGAAAGTAGAGTAGAAGTAGATGGTAGTAAAATATTGTGATGAACTGTATCAAATGCAGCACCGAGGTCTAACAGGACCCGTGTAGACACCTGTCCATTGTCAGCGGCCATGAGAATATCATTAGTTACTTTCACCAGTGCTGTTTCTGTGCTATGATGAGCTCTAATCCCTGACTGAAAATCTTCAAATTATTTCTGTTCAAATGTTCACACAACTCACCTGCAACTATTTTCTCAAGAATTTTTGAGGTGAATGTTAGATTAGATATAAGTTGTGTATAAATGAAGGTTGAATGCATCTCTCCAAGTTCAATAAACTTCTTCAATGTTAGTGGGGTTCCATGTTCTCTCCTGCTTTTTAGATGACTCTTTTAAAATGCGTAATTTCCAGAATATAAGTCGCTACTTTTTCACACACTTTGAACACCGCGGCTTATACAATGCTGCGGCTAATTTATGGATTAATATTTTTTTGATTGGCTAACGTGCTTCATGCCACCAAAACATTTAGCTTTGTCACACCCAGGAGCTCACATAGCTGCCCAATACACATCTGTCTCAGGGTGGGGTGGGGGGATAACGATCAATGACTTCCTGGTAGACTACTGGTTTTTTTTTTATCAGCCGTGTTACAGGCACTGTTCAGAAAAAACAACATTTATTTGTGCGTGTTACCGGTATGTATTTAATTAAAAGTAAAAAAATATATATATTTCTGTGTAAATATCTCATGTTACAATGTGAACACCCGCAGCTTATAGACAAGTGTGGCCTATCTATGTAAAATTTTAATTTTCTTTTTATATTTAGTGGGCGCAGCTTAAAATCAGATGCGCTCAATAGTCCAGAAATTACAGTACGTAACTCAGGACTGAATCAAAGAGCCCGTTTTCTTTGAGTGATCACTTTCTTTTATCGAGTGAAGTTTGCGTAAGACGTAAAATTATCAACAAGATGGTCTAAGTCACTGTTCTCTACTTCATTACGCTGCAAAACATTATGTTTTCTGATAAACACCTGCTATAATGACTTCAAAAAACGTTCAGTACAAAAAACAAACGAACGTTTTTTGAATTGATCATGTCCTGGATGACTGAGAATCTTCACCAGCTGCTATAATGACATTTACTCTCGGTGGCTGTGTAGTCATTTAATGTCAACTTTATTTTTAACTTATTCTATATACAGCACATGTTAAATATGAACAAATGATTAAAAGTCATGATTACTTCGTAAGAAGAGAATGTGAGATAAAATTAATAGTTTGAACTTTTTAAGTAAAGCACCAAAATGGCTGAAAAGATGAATTAAATATTGCCCTGGTCGACAGGTTAATCCCATGGAGCCTCGGGGACTCATTTACAAGAGAGACCTGAATTTTAACAAAGAGTGATGACAACAGTGGACAACAATAGACAGTCATAAAGGATGTGTACAATTTTATTTAACAAGTGAAAATAAAATGGTAATTAAAAGGAAAAGTAGCGATAAAACAGCTAGGTTGTAAGGCGGTGTAGAAAACTAAAAACAGGAGCATGCATTGGTTTTTCCCAAGAACTTAGCAGATGTTTGAAGTCACTTAGAGAGGTCATGGTCGAGAGCTTCAGATCTTCTTGCAAGATATTCCAGGAAGGAGCAGAGTAGGAGAAGGCCCTTTTGTCTAGTTCAGTCTGTCTGCACTGAGGGGACACTGCAGGTAATAATGTCCTGACAGCGCACGCTGTATAGAAGCGAATGTGTCACCATTTTCAAATTAAAATGGATTAATAGAAATGCTTTTCATTTTCAAAATAAAGCTGCATGTTTTGACTCATAAATAAAATTAAAAATAAATAATCCAAACTGCATTTTCATTCTCTTCTCCAAGACTGCTCAGTTTGTAAATTAATTTTAACATTTGTTTTTCAAAATATGACCCTGTGACCAAAATTCATTTTGAAATGCAAAATTTGAAAATTAAAATGAATGTTCAGAAATGTTGTTTCGTTTCAAAGTCAACGCTGCATGTTTGGACTCATAAATTAAATTGCTAATAGATCATCCAAACTGTTTTTATTTTCAGGTCAACACTGCTCCTTATGTGACACAACTACAGAGAAAACTAAACTGCTTTCTCATTTTCACGCCCCGTCCTGCAAAAAGTTCCATAAATCAATTAGAATGAACAATTCCTCTGATGCCTCCCGACTGTTTGCTGCATCCAGGTCCCACTCGAGGTGTGAGGCAGCAGAGGAATTGACGTTTTCTCTTTCTTCATGTTTTCCAGCCTCCTCTCCACGTTCAGAATCTCCTGAATCCGCAGTGTCTGACTATCAGCCCCCGCAAAAAAGAAAATATGTCAGTAAAAATAAGGCAGCTGCCTCTGCAGTCACCTACAGCCGAGGTTTGTATTTTTAAATGTTTTGTTTGAATAAAACGTAAATAATTTACCAGCTGGGTCACGTCCTAATCATTCAACAATAACAATTTGTTTACAGAATCATTAATAAAGAAGATCAAAGAGGAAGACAAAACAATTGAAGGTAAGTTTATAAATTGTTTTTACAATATTTTAAGATAAACACAACGTTGTTAATGAGCCAATGTTGTGTTTCAGATTTTTGCTTGTCTTGTGCATCACCTGAGGTTGAAGTTCCACATCCGTTGTTTGAAGGTGGTCTTTGTCTGAAATGCAAGGTAATCTAATAACAGTAATCTAATTTAGTCTAATCTGGGTGTGTTTCTGTTGGGTTGCTGTACGGCAGTGTCTGCCTGTCTTATCTGTAGCTGAAAACAGCTGCAGACAGCTGAAAACAGCTGCAGACAGCTGAAGAAAGCTGAAGATGGCTGAAAACTTCTGCGGACAGCTGACGATGGCTACAGACAGCTGAAGGCGACTGCAAATGGCTGAAGGCGGCTGCAGACGGCTGAAGGCGGCTGCAGACGGCTGAAGGCGGCTGCAGACGGCTGAAGGCGGCTGCAGACGGCTGCAGACGGCTGAAGGCGGCTGCAGACGGCTGCAGACGGCTGAAGGCGGCTGAAGGCGGCTGCAGACGGCTGAAGGCGGCTGCAGACGGCTGAAGGCGGCTGCAGACGGCTGAAGGCGGCTGCAGACGGCTGAAGGCGGCTGCAGACGGCTGAAGACGGCTGAAGGCGGCTGAACTGTTACACCATATTCTGTGACCTGCAACAGTGCATGCAACACCGCCCCCTACGGTCACAATATACGGTGGTCACAGAATATGGTACAACACCGGTTCACAACGAGCTCCAAACAGTCAGGAAGTTGATTCATTTTCTGTTTCCTTACGGTAGTTGAACCGGAAGATTCATGTTTAGTGAAATATTTCCAGACTACTGATGCATTTCTACCTGTTTGTCAAGACTGGACCTGCTCTGCTCAGTCCATCTGCTGGGGGGGAATCCATTTGGTAGTTTCTACTAGTAGCGCGGTGTGGATCACGTGACACAAAGACGTCACTACTAATACTCTATGTGAAATTTAAAAACTCGATAGATGTCCTAAGAATCGACCTGTCGATTACTCGAGTACTCTGTTAAAGCCCTATAGGTGACTGCAGACAGCTGAAGGCAGCTGCAGACAGCTGAAGGCAGCTGCAGACAGCTGAAGGCAGCTGCAGACAGCTGAAGGTGACTGCAGACTGCTGAAGGCGACTGCAGACTGCTGAAG